TGTGTGGGGAGGGGGGGTGGAGGGGGTGTGCTCTGCCATGAGGAAGTTCGGCTTAAAGACATGTCCCAGGGCCAAAGGTGTTTCTGGTCCACACCTGTCGTTTTGCTCCTCAGCATGGCTTCCTAAAAATGCTGCAGGATTTCTCAAACATGCATGAATGAGTCAAAGCAAGGCTTTGGGCATGTTTTTTATGAGAGTATAACATTATAACATGATATAAAACTCAAAAAAGTTGATTTTACATGATATTGCCCCTTTAATAGGAGTCACACTGACAGTGTGTGTGTTTACTCTGCAGGCACAACGTCATAAAGTTAACTAAAAGGCAGAAACAGAAGTTACGTAAATGTTTTATTTACTCCTCAACGTGAATCATTTCTATTTTTGTGAGTGAAAAATGATCATGAAAAATTATAATTATTTCATAGATTACATAACTGATGGAATGCTCATAATTGATCTTGATGGCTACAGAAATATAATGAACTCAATGGGGATTGATTGTATTTATCCACCAAGCCATTAAACCAAGTGTTTTTATGTTTTTTTTATTTTTAACAATAACAACTGAAGCCAAAACCTGACATTATTTTTGCAGCATCCAGAGACTAAAACACAATTTTATGGCAGAATGAGCACAAAAAATGACTTTGACATTCAATTATGGGGAATAAAAAAATCAACCTTAACCTCATCACTGAGATCAACTTTTTGTTAAAAAGGTACAGACACACAAATTACAGACATGCTGATTTATGAGCAGCTAAAGAATCCTTGCACGCATCAAGAAAAATCTTGCACAATCTTTTAAGGTTAGAAATTTGTGGTGGGAATGACTTTTAGTTACTACAACGTTAAATTCCAGCTAATTATCTGTAAAAGTGACGAGTTGATCCCATTTATTTGTGTTTGCTAACATGGATTAGCTGTGACCGCTGTTTTGAATGGAGTTCACTGCAAAAACGAAACAATTTTAGACATACACAAAAGTGTTTGCTTTGTGCCCAAACGTTTTCCCAGAGAGGACCAAAATGAAAATCTATCCAAGGGTTGTGGGTCAAATTCAATAACACAATACTTGAAGTGCAAATACTTTTTTTATTTTTTATATTAAGAGCCAGTGCAGTGGCCTACATTTTCTTTGTTTGTTCTTTTAGCCCGTGYGGTTGGAGAATGTTTGACATAAAGGCAGCAAAGCTCATGAAACATTTTATAAGTTGTTAAAATTTGAGTATTTGCAGTCYTATAAAAAGTTCAAATTAACAAGTGTGCTGAAATATAATCTAAACACTGTATCTCCTTTAGTTACTTTTATTTCATGCTTAACCCTCCTGTTATTGTTGTTTTTGAGGAACAGCAATATTATTCCTGGGTCAGTTGGACCTGGGGAATATTTAATCATGTGTCAGAACCCAAAAAACATTTTATGTTTGATTATTATCTCCATTTCTCACCATTTCATTTAATAGTTGTGTGTTGAAGTATTTTTATTTCTCACAGATAAAAGATCAATGGGGTCAGTTCACTCGTTTTTCATAAAAAATGTACATTACATTTTTTATATCCACTGAAAAAACAGACACACAAACCCCCCAATGATTATACATGAAATTATTTTATTTATTCGATTTTTTTTAATTGTTTTTTTTTTATTTTGATCTTTGTTGCATGTAGACACAAGGGTGGGTTGAGGTAGCAAATATTTGAAATGAACCATTTCAATTTTGTATGTTGATCATACTTAATAAGACAAATAGAAAAAGTTTCATGCAGGAAAAAAATACTTTTAACTATTAAAAAAAACTTTTAAAATGGGTCAGTTTGACCCACATCATGGGCCACTTTTGGCCCATGAGCCCCACTTTAGGCACCTATAATCTAGACACAAATGTGTTATGTGTCAGTTTATGACATGTTTTGATTAAAAGTAAACTGGAGTGTATTGTCTAACATGACCCGTGGCCCCCAGGTTTCGTAGAGAACAGCAGAAAACCCAGCACACAGACAGAACATGAAGAATTTATCAGAGAAAGACAAAAAAAAAACAGAATGTGGGTAAAAATAAGAAAAATAATGCCAGAGTTAAAACAATTTAATTTAGGTAAAATGTGAACAAACGTGAAAGGATGCGGCGCTTCACAAGCAGGATAAACAGGAAGTGATTCAGCTAAATATTCTGTTGTACAGCTGAAGAGGAAAACAAGAATCTATTTTTACCTCAGACACAAGTTCTTACTAAGACCTGTTAAAATGGATAAATATCTGGATGCTTCAAAATAATTTTTGAATGATAGGTAACTTTTCGTGGAGCCATCTGTTCTGCTTTAGTAAAAAAAATAAATGAATTAAAAAAAGACAAAATCAGAGACAATGTTGTTTACTCTGTAATGAATACATGGAGGTTACTAAATTTTGTTACATTTATCTGAAAACATCATCTAATCTTAAAGGTGAGCTTTGTGCACACATAAAAACATAATCTTTTCACCATGTAACATGCTATCATTCTAAAAGTTTGAATAATTTAAATATCACGTCCCAAACAAAATGAGTAATGTCGTTTTCAGACCCTCACAGAATAACCATCATGACTTTCAGTAATCCTCCACTTTCTCAGAAAGCTTCAGGTGCCTCCCGTCGTGCTGTGAAACAGGAAGTGAAGCAGGTCACGACACAAGGAGCCCATTTTCTTCTATTTTTATTAAATTTGTGCTCCAAACAGCAAAAGAATCTGTTTTTTTTACTCTTAAAGCCTTCTTTGAATCTTCATCACAAGATCTGCCTTTTTTTTGCTCTCAGGGCTTCTTTGTGTCCATTATCTACTGCTACTGCAACGGAGAGGTGAGTGGGCTTTTATTTTCTTAAAGATATTTATCACAAAAAAACAGCAGCATTGTTAAAAAAACGTCTAATTTGACCTAATTACTCCAGAGAGACACAAAATATAAAAGCACTTCCTGAGAGGTTATCTACACAAAGATTTTTTATTTGAAAAGGTTTATTTCCTCATCCGTTTCCTAAAACTTCACAAGGTTTTTGCAGAAAAACAAACTTATTTATAAGCAAAAAAAATAAAATAATAAAAAAAAAACATTTGTGCTCATAAGTGAACCTCTATTTTTATACTTTTGCACAAAATCAAACTCAAAAAAGAAAACTAGAGCAGCGTTAACATGTTTTTTACAGCCTATGGGTGTTGTTCGCACGCTAAACATGTTTTCAGTTTTCTTTTTTATTTACATTTTCAGTTTTTGAATGGAAATTTGATTAGAGTGCGAGTTAACAGAATGCTGTGGCATTTTTAGAGCTCAAATAAATACAAACGTTTTATTTAACTCTATTAATAAACTTTTTTCCCTTTATGATGTTTTATTTTATTTTTTATAAATTAATGGTTTTCTGCAGGTCCAGACAGAAATAAAGAAAACGTGGACCCGCTGGAACCTGGCCTTTGACTGGGAGGGCTCAGTGGTCTGCGGGCGGTACCGTTACGGCTCCGTGGTTGTGGGTCTGAACAACAACAGCACCAGCAGTCAGTCTCATCTGGCGGGCGGGGGGCTTTCCACGCGATCCACCACGGTGGCGTCGAGCCGCATGWGTCGGAGCGCAGGCCCCCCCTCCATCAACGTGCACGCCACCCTCCCGGGCTACGTAATGACTAACTCGGACCCGTCCATACCCGAAGAACCCGAGGACAGTGGCCCCAAACAGGTGGATGACATCTCACTGAAGGAAAACCTGCCGGTCCTGAATACGAGCGCGACGGCAGAGGATGAGGAGGAGACTCTGTAGCAGACAATAATAATAATTATAAAAGGAAAAACTGTGAAGAACTCTGCAGATGGAGCTTTGCAACTCATTGTCTGCTGGAATTCAACAGAATTATGACAAACAAACAAACAAACAAACAAGTCTGACTGAACTTCAGTAAACGGAGAAGCAGTTCTAACTCCAGATATGAGAGGCCATTTAGGCCATAATCCAAACTTGCGCTCACATTCACTATCAAACCTGAAACAGCAACTAGAACTCATGGACATCTTTTTTAAACTCAACAAACGAAAACATGAATGAAATACAAAGTAAAACCTTAAAAACAATGATTTATCATTGGAAATGGACATTTATACGTGTTTAGTCTCATCTTGCTCGGCTGTGGCTTCTGGSTGTTGGTAAACAGTGATTTACTCTGTTAGGAAGTTGAATAAGATAAGATAAAGCAAAGAGCTCTTCTGTTTCCTGTGAACCCAACTGTAAATATAATTTACTGGATTTAACATAAAATAGAGAAACAGTGTTTCACATGGTGCACAGCACTGATTGTTTGATTTTAGGTGAATTTATTTGAATTTTGTAACCTCCACTTTTGCTGTCGACTGGTATAAAACCGCAATCAAAACAAGCACACTGATGATTGTTTACAGTTTAAAGGAGTATAAAGAGTTTGTAATAAGATGGAGACAGCAGTAGCAGCATGATGACTGAGAAAAGTAAAGATCCCCCAGAATGTTGCAGGTTGATGAAATTAATTTTTTCCAGCGAGTGTTCACAGTTTTTTTAATTTAATTTTCAGTATCTTTTTCATGAACTCGATGAAATAAATAACATTCATGCAGATGATAAAACAGCCCCAAAATTTAATTTATTTTTGTATTGTGGATCCTAAGAGCCGAAGAAACATCTGCAACTTTTAATTTTTTTCTCCTCTATGTTATATTTTTTGGTCACTTTACAACTAACTTTCGGCATTTTTTAGGTTTCCATGTATGAAGTTAAATCTGGTAACCTGATGTGTTAGATCAGGATCAATAATGGATCAAGTCAACACTGACTTTCAGTTTTTAGTTGTCAAATTAAAAATAAAGTTGAATAATTCCATAAATCAATCCAGGCTGTTTTAATCTGCTAACCTATAGGCCTATATCTAACCCAGATTAAATTAAGTACTKTTTAACCMTCTTGAGTAAATTCACAAGCCTAGTCTCTATGTRAAKCTATCAATCTGATTTTTAACTTCAGCAGTCATAATGTTTGTAACTGTAACTTTGTTATTTAAGTCAAAAGACACTATAACTATTATTATTATTATTATTTCTTTTTGTTTCATTTCAAAAGCTGCACATCAACTAAAATATAACTTGATTGGCTACACAGCTGTGGTGTCAGAATGAAGCTCAGAGCTGATTGGCCGATTCTAGTTAATCAATCGTGTACAATGTATGGGTGGGACATAAGGGGCTTGCCACACATTTTGTGCTCTGGAGAGTCTATAGATGAACCCAGTTGGTTAAAAGAGGTGTCAATCAAGAGAAGACCATCAATCGAATTGTTTGAACAGCCTATTRTGCAAATTCAAAGTGTCTGGTAGCGAGGGTCAGGGTATGAAGAGGAAGGAAGTACCCAAAAGCTGAAAATGTACCGCGGGCCGTACATTGAGGGTTAAGAAATRTTCTGACTTTAATTTATAGGATGAAAAATGTAAAGAGAACGAGGGGCCAGGCCTAAAACATTTTTTCATAACATTGTCAATTACACATTTTTTCTGCAATTACAGCCCATTTTTTAATCTTACTGTTTTTATTACGTAGTTCTTTCAAGTTAGTTTTTCTTTAAACATGAAGTTAATTCAGCCAAATCTCAGTGAAATAAAAGGGCTCAGACTTTTGTCTTTGTCAAAAATAAGAAGTTACAATAACTGATTCAAGACGAAGAGGTCACACAGAAAATCATTTTGATATTAATAAAAGCTGACATTGATAACTTTGGTGTATGTCTATAAAAACAAAACATTTTTTTCAACTCAGGTGATGTGGAAACACTGTTGACCCTGACCGCTAACAGCACCTAAAGTCACTAAAACATTTGCAAACTTAATCTGCTGATCTGCTTTGACCTGGTTCCTGCTCATGAATTCACAGGGATCTAAMTTTCATCTCAACATTCAACAAGTGCCTCATGCCTAATTAGTGGTAGATGCTTTATCAGTTGACATTTTTTGCACCTTTTCTCATTTGTGCTTCTTATTAAACAGTTGATATATTGTACTGTTCAGCTTACATCAGTGAAAACAATGCAACAGAACTGGTGAGGGACCAAAACTGTGTTAATGCCCTTTTTTTATCGTCACGGTCCATAAACATCASCAAGAGCCAAGGGAAAAGTATGAGAGGCCCTTTAGGCCAGTATGTGTGAAAGTACATGTGAGAGCAAGTTTGAATTATGGCTTAAACGGCCTCTCATAAAAAAAAGACTTAAAACGTGAGGTCAGTCCACATTGTGAATAGTTGTGCGTTTTGTAAAGAAACAAACAAAAAAGTGTTTAAAAATAAGCAATGTATTTTTTTTCCTTTATGTAAATTGTTCACATTTTTCACCATAAAGACAACATTAAATCTAACTCYACTGTCAGTCATGCTGGCTGTTAAACARTGGAGGAGAGCCGGTGGTTATTTARCTGTCTGTTTGTTGCATGCGTGGTCCTCTGCAGCTGCAGAAGCTTTAAAATCCTGACTTGAAAGAATGGTTTTAAAACATTTTAAAAGCCAAATTCATTCATTTTTTCAATGCTTATCTGTGTTTGTTTTTTTTAAATGATCCTCTTGTCTATCCTGTCTCTTAGCTGAAAATAAATGTCTAATGATTTCTGCAACTGCTTGTCAATCAGCTTTTAATTTCTCTAATCATAATGCAATGCAGGTGTTTTTAAATACCATACACATTGTTAGTGTTACAGATATGTTTGTTGCATTTTGTGTCTTCACTAGAGAACACTTCTGCATKAGAAATATGAGGTTATTTTAGAGGATGGTGTTTTTATTTTGCAGTTGTTTCCCTTGCAGAACAAGGAGAAGATAATCGACTGCAGCCGGAGGCAAACTGATGCCTCAGCACTTAAAGTCATCTTTGAGAGCTGGAGAGAGGGAAAGAGTACAAATATTCTGTCACTATTATTGACAATTGATTCATCTTGGAGCACAAAAATAAAATAAAAAATAAAATAAAAAAAATAAAAAAACCTTCTCCAAGCGCTGACAATGTTCTTTTCAAAGTAAACTGAAAACGTCAGGTTCACCAATCAACTTTACTCAATATGTAATGTTTTATTAAATCCATCATTGCCACGTGTTTGGAGTGTTGRACAAAAGACACTTCAGATTTATTAAAATGAACTGAAAATATTGCCTCAAACTTAGAACCACTTACCACAGACCAGAGTGAAAGGACTCTGAATAGCATCTAAACTCCCAAGACAGACACACACACACACACACACACACGCACACGCACACACACACACACATTAAGTTTACACAAAAAGCCAACATTTGCAGTGTGGGCCCTCCGTTTTACATTAAACTCATCAACTCATCCTGCCATGTGGTCAGTCAGCTTCTGATGGCAGCCAATTCTTATATAATCAATGCTTGGAGTTTGTCAAAATTTGTGTTTTTTTGTTCATCATAAGCCTCTGGGATTAGGGTTGGGGGAAGATTTTYTAGCCAAGGACCTAAAATCTGGATATCTTGTTCCCTGATCCACATCTTTATCCCTTCAGCCTTATGGCRTGGTGGTCCGTGGTGCTGGAAGAGATGATGTTTGTGACCACACTGGTTTTGATTGGTTGGGATGTTTAGGTACTGATCTTTATTGATGGCTATGCTCTTAGGCAAAAATGTGAGTGAGCCCACTCATTTGGCTGAGAAGCAACACCCCTTACGTATGACACAGGACTGATGATGGCACTCAGCTGTGTGTTTTTAGCTAATTCCATAAACAATTGRAATAATTCATCAAAGAAAATGAAAATTTCTCTAAACCCTCAGCATTATTCATCACCCCTTTCAGAATATCTGCCATTCACTTTGTGTGTCATTCCTGAGCAGGCTCATTGTTGTTGGTACCCTGGTTTTTGTCCTCAAAGTCCCTTTCATGCTTTGACATAATTGATTTTGCTTCATTGCATGTGGCCATGGTTACAAGAAGAAGAATATTTTTTTCAAGCACCACCCTCCTTTTAAAACATCCAATCTGCTATTGTAACTCAACCTGCATGGCCATGTGTGTTTTGAGAGGACCATCAGCAGATCGAGTTTCAGCTGGTTTGTAATTCAGCTGATTACTCTCATAATGTTCTGAAGTAACTGAGGTAGCAAACTTTGCGATGGTTAACATTTGTGTCAATCTCAAGTTTGATATAAAACTCATCAGTGTTTAAACAAGACATCAAAACTCTTTTTTCGTACTTTATTCACGCCACTAAATTTCAGAGCGAAACTGAAGTTTTCTAAACAGAAACTATGGTGTGCCGTTTGTAAAGTTACACAGTCAAAGATTACCACCAATACTTTTGTTTTATTTAGCCTTTTATAAGAAAAAAAGAACAGATTTATTTTTCAAAGTCAGTTTTT